TACTCAGGAGTACTAGTGCACTTATTGTACTCAGGAGTACTAGTGCACTTATTGTACTCAGGAGTACTAGTGCACTTATTGTACTCAGGAGTACTAGTGCACTTATTGTACTCAGGAGTACTAGTGCACTTATTGTACTCAGGAGTACTAGTGCACTTATTGTACTCAGGAGTACTAGTGCACTTATTGTACTCAGGAGTACTAGTGCACTTATTGTACTCAGGAGTACTAGTGCACTTACTGTACTCAGGAGTACTAGTGCACTTACTGTACTCAGGAGTACTAGTGCACTTATTGTACTCAGGAGTACTAGTGCACTTACTGTACTCAGGAGTACTAGTGCACTTACTGTACTCAGGAGTACTAGTGCACTTATTGTACTCAGGAGTACTAGTGCACTTATTGTACTCAGGAGTGCTAGTGCACTTATTGTACTCAGGAGTACTAGTGCACTTATTGTACTCAGGAGTACTAGTGCACTTATTGTACTCAGGAGTACTAGTGCACTTATTGTACTCAGGAGTACTAGTGCACTTATTGTACTCAGGAGTACTAGTGCACTTACTGTACTCAGGAGTACTAGTGCACTTATTGTACTCAGGAGTACTAGTGCACTTATTGTACTCAGGAGTACTAGTGCACTTATTGTACTCAGGAGTACTAGTGCACTTATTCATAACAACGACATTTATTTATAGTGTTTCGTTGAGAGTCGGGAGAGTTCTTCATGGGTAAGTTAGGTGTCTTCTTACTCTTGTTGTGTATGGTGAGCTGTGTGGTCCAGTCAGTGCCGGCTGGTGTGTGTATGGTGAGCTGTGTGGTCCAGTCAGTGCCGGCTGGTGTGTGTATGGTGAGCTGTGTGGTCCAGTCAGTGCTGGCTGGTGTGTGTATGGTGAGCTGTGTGGTCCAGTCAGTGCCGGCTGGTGTGTGTATGGTGAGCTGTGTGGTCCAGTCAGTGCCGGCTGGTGTGTGTATGGTGAGCTGTGTGGTCCAGTCAGTGCCGGCTGGTGTGTGTATGGTGAGCTGTGTGGTCCAGTCAGTGCCGGCTGGTGTGTGTATGGTGAGCTGTGTGGTCCAGTCAGTGCTGGCTGGTGTGTGTATGGTGAGCTGTGTGGTCCAGTCAGTGCCGGCTGGTGTGTGTATGGTGAGCTGTGTGGTCCAGTCAGTGCCGGCTGGTGTGTGTATGGTGAGCTGTGTGGTCCAGTCAGTGCCGGCTGGTGTGTGTATGGTGAGCTGTGTGGTCCAGTCAGTGCCGGCTGGTGTGTGTATGGTGAGCTGTGTGGTCCAGTCAGTGCTGGCTGGTGTACATGGTTCGCAGCGTCAAGAAAAGGGTCAATTTATAGTGTCCTCTCCTAACCTACTAGAGAACCCAAAACAGAAAACAGGACAATGTGTCATTTTTCGCCAGCCTTCCATTTTCCAGTCCGACAATACAAAGGTTCCGATAAGACTTGGCTGGTGCTGGTCAGGGCACTGATTACTTGCATTAAGGCAAATTCTTATGTTAATTCCCATAGTATAAACCACCATTCCTTCTCAGATTGCCACACCCAGGAGTGTCAACTTACCTTCAATCTCCATTTCTTAAGTGAAATTAAACACGAGAATTTCACTTAAAGTCTTCCGAAAACATGGGATATTAGGAACCTACAAGATGTCAGGAACATACCTCCAGCTGACGTCAAGTGTAATTATTAATTAATCACTTTAGTGCTCCTGGGTCGTAAATAAACGACGCGTAAATAGCCGTATTTTGTCCAGTAGTTGCCAGAGCGTCGTAAATTTACGTGCGATTAAAAAATATTTGTATAAAATCCAATTCTTTTTCGATCGACTTGGGGTTAGTATGAAAATGTTAGCCATTAAATTTCTGTTTTCTCTAATAGGCACATATTAATTAAGATACGGGTCAGCAGGGACTTCCTTGCACAGTACCCCTGTAAATAGGACCCGGAAGGGGCAAGGAAATCAACCCATCTACTGTCTCATAGGAATGATCAGGTTCATACTCTCCAGTAGTTATAAAAATAAAATAAAATAAAATGTTTATTTAGGTAAGGTACATACATACAAGAAATTTTTACAAAGATTGGTTGACTTATAGGTAGTGCTAGTACATACAATGCCTAAAGCCACTATTACGCAAAGCGCTTCGGGCATCGCAAAGCGTTTCGGGCATTATTTCGGGCGAAGCCCAGACCTTTTCCCACTGACTGTTTCAAACAACCTGTTTACCATTGTTTACGGTTCGTCAGTAGTATCTAAATCCATTTAATCCTAAATCCTCAGGTGATCTTTTGGAATATAATTTCATCAGAGAGACTGAGGTTCATTTTCTCAATACATGCATACATTATGAGAACTGCATATATGGGCTAGATGCCTCATCTTCTAAGACCCATTTCCAGGGACTTCATATGCCTGATAGATGCTGCTCTGACCTCAGGAGACAGATTGGTGCTTCTGTAGTTACCACCAGTCTTTCCTCCCTCCTCCATACGGCAGGTTATATTCTTAGTCGTGACTTGTCGTGAGAAACAGAGGCAGGTTATATGCTTAGTGGTGATTTCTTGGGAGACACAGAGGCAGGTTACATTCTTAGTGGTGACTTGTCGTGAGACACAGAGGCCTACATCGAAACAGGCCCACGCAGGAGCCAGCAACAAACACCCACACCATACATTCGCACACACACAAAAACCCGCACCCGTGCATGCAGGCACCGGGAAACAAAATCACACCCACACACAAGAACAAGCACCAAGCAATCAAAGACAAACAAAAAATCCAACCACACGGACTACTCATACTTATCCGGGTATTGCTGCTCTGGAAAACGCAAGCAGTAAGCCTTCCAAAGCAACAGCTCATCATCAGAGACTGGACGGCCAGGAGCCACACAAAGCTGAGGCATTAAATTCGGTACCCCAGTGACAAAACTCTGCACCCACGGAACCCAAATAGAAGAAGGGTTCCACAGGACAGGACGCACCAGGCCACCAAAGCCACACCTCATAGGACGAGTCCCATCATACACTTCCCCGGACGGGAAGATGACAGGGAAGGGCTTCCTCCTAGGGGGGCCGGTCACAGGGCTGCGCACGGGTAAGCATACCGGGCAGCGCGCAAGCCCGCACAGCAGCTGGCACACCAGGTCCCACGTCGGGCGCCGCACAGAGCCTCACGCAGGGAGAGCTGTCAGATGTGCCATGTCCCCCACCATCAGGAACAGGAGCAGAGGCTCCCTGATGCACCTCCTTCATCGACACCAACACGAGGTCGCGGCCACCAAAGGCAACCGCCCTCGGTGGGGAGCCACCAGCAAGAGGCACATGATCCAACGCAGGAGGCAGCACAGGGCCACCCACAGCATCGTCACCCACATCTTCGTATTCATCAGCCCACACACGGGGAGGCGACTCATCCCTATCCTGACGAGAATGCTTAGGGACAGGGCGTTGATCGTCAAAGCTGTCACCCTCTGCAATTGTCGCCTGAGAAGAGCCTTCGGCCGGCCGCCCCAAAGACGAGGTAGCACGACCACACAGATAGTCAGCCACATCGACACTGGGGATGAGGCTTCCACCCACCAAGGACACCGGACCCGGAGAACCAACAGGTGCGGCTGGCGGAAGAGAAGGGACCCCGCGCAGGCGAGGGAGTCCGCGAAGACGATGATACAGCCGGGGGAGAAGAGGCCCGCACAGGCAAAGAATCCCGCGGAAGCATAGAGGATGACCGCAGGGGTGGGGCCGCACACACCACCACCTCGTCACGAGCACCACAACTCGTATCCACCGGCCCACCAGCCTAGGAACCCGGACCAACACCGGGCCAGCAGGCAGTAGGGGAAACCTCCCCACCCACTCCATCACAAGGCGACACATCCTGCACCACCACCGCAGGGAAATCCTCTTCCCGAAAAAAGTTAGTGGGAGCAGCCGCCCCCCAAGTACAAGCGGCCGCCTGGTGCCCCTCAAGGCCTTAACGAAAACATTGTCATGGCTGCCCTGCGTAGAACGCCCGCATAGTGTAGCCCATCAAGGTAACCGTTGAGGGAACAAGAGACTTGAGCCGCAGGCCGAGAATCTGGGTCCCATACGAGACTCCACGCCACCTGCTGGAAGAGATGGAGTTCATTCGGAGGGAAACCACCGTTCCAAACCGGCCAAAATACCTTCGTAGTAGGGCCTCTGAGAACTCGAAAGGCACACCATGCAGATCCCCATATGTCATAGCGCAACAGCGGTCCGAAATAGTGACGGTACCACCGTCTCCAGGGAGCATAAATGTCCGCCCATCATAGCTTATCACAAAGCCCCAGTAAACTGCCGCGGAGTTTAACTTCACGAGTGCCCGGTAGGTTGTTAACAACTGGAGCCTGTACATGTCGGCAACACGAACTCATAGCATATCCAGTAACACTATTTCACGTGCAGGGTATGATGCTCGGCCAGAAAATTCAAGCCCAATAGTTTCAGTCCGGTGAACAGGGAGTAGGGGGGGTCCCCATGTCGCCGACACGCCAAACAGCGTCATCCCTCACACAGCCAGCACCAGGCAATGCCTGACGTCAATAACCAGAGAGGTCAGGTGACACGTCCTCACCCCACCGTAGCCTGGGCACAACTCCCACAGTGGTGACTTGTCGCGAGACACAGAGGCAGGTTATATTCTTATTGGTGACTTGTCACGAGACACAGAGGCAGGTTACATTCTAAGTGGTTACTTCTCGTGAGAGACAAAGCTTCCCACTTAACAAGCAGAACTTGGCCTCCTGGATACTTACTTAACCTCGCGGATACTCACTTGACTTCGCCGATACTTACTTGTCCTCGCTGATACTCACTTGGTTTAGCAGATACTCACTTGGCCTCGTAGATACTTGGCCTCGTAGATACTTGGCCTCACGGACACTTACTTGGTCTTGTGGATATTACTTGGCCTCGCGGATACTTACTTGGCCTCGCGGATACTTACTCAGCTTCGCAGATACTTACTTGGCCTCGCGGATACTTCAGGTAGCGTGGAGTTGCGTCACCAAAGCAGTTGAGGATGACCATGAGGACGGTAAAGAAGAAGTAGAGACAGTACACTGAGAGCCTCAGACTGTCAACATCACTATCCTGCAGATGATGTTATACTGATGTTAGCTTTCTGTTGTCTTAACGAGTCTAGGGTAATGATGTTTGGTGGGTAATGATGCTTGGTGGGTAATGATGCTTGGTGGGTAATAATGCTTGGTGGGTAATGATGCTTGGTGGGTAATGATGCTTGGTGGGTAATGATGCTTGGTGGGTAATGATGCTTGGTGGGTAATGATGCTTGGTGGGTAATGATGCTTGGTGGGTAATAATGCTTGGTGGGTAATAATGCTTGGTGGGTAATAATGCTTGGTGGGTAATAATGCTTGGTGGGTAATGATGCTTGGTGGGTAATAATGCTTGGTGGGTAATAATGCTTGGTGGGTAATAATGCTTGGTGAGTAATGATGTTTGGTGGGTAATAATGCTTGGTGAGTAATGATGTTTGGTGGGTAATGATGCTTGGTGGGTAATGATGCTTGGTGGGTAATGATGCTTGGTGGGTAATGATGCTTGGTGGGTAATAATGCTTGGTGGGTAATAATGCTTGGTGGGTAATGATGCTTGGTGGGTAATGATGCTTGGTGGGTAATAATGCTTGGTGAGTAATGATGTTTGGTGGGTAATGATGCTTGGTGGGTAATGATGCTTGGTGGGTAATAATGCTTGGTGGGTAATGATGTTTGGTGAGTAATGATGTTTGGTGGGTAATGATGTTTGGTGGGTAATAATGCTTGGTGGGTAATAATGCTTGGTGGGTAATGATGTTTGGTGGGTAATGATGCTTGGTGGGTAATAATGCTTGGTGGGTAATAATGCTTGGTGGGTAATGATGTTTGGTGGGTAATGATGCTTGGTGGGTAATGATGCTTGGTGGGTAATGATGCTTGGTGGGTAATAATGCTTGGTGGGTAATAATGCTTGGTGGGTAATGATGTTTGGTGAGTAATGATGCTTGGTGGGTAATGATGCTTGGTGGGTAATGATGCTTGGTGGGTAATAATGCTTGGTGGGTAATAATGCTTGGTGGGTAATAATGCTTGGTGGGTAATAATGCTTGGTGGGTAATAATGCTTGGTGGGTAATGATGCTTGGTGGGTAATGATGCTTGGTGGGTAATGATGCTTGGTGGGTAATAATGCTTGGTGAGTAATGATGTTTGGTGGGTAATGATGCTTGGTGGGTAATGATGCTTGGTGGGTAATGATGCTTGGTGGGTAATAATGCTTGGTGGGTAATAATGCTTGGTGGGTAATGATGTTTGGTGGGTAATGATGCTTGGTGGGTAATAATGCTTGGTGGGTAATGATGCTTGGTGGGTAATGATGTTTGGTGGGTAATGATGCTTGGTGGGTAATAATGCTTGGTGGGTAATAATGCTTGGTGGGTAATGATGCTTGGTGGGTAATGATGCTTGGTGGGTAATAATGCTTGGTGGGTAATGATGTTTGGTGAGTAATGATGTTTGGTGGGTAATGATGCTTGGTGGGTAATAATGCTTGGTGGGTAATGATGTTTGGTGGGTAATGATGTTTGGTGGGTAATGATGCTTGGTGGGTAATAATGCTTGGTGGGTAATGATGCTTGGTGGGTAATGATGCTTGGTGGGTAATGATGTTTGGTGGGTAATGATGCTTGGTGGGTAATAATGCTTGGTGGGTAATGATGCTTGGTGGGTAATGATGCTTGGTGGGTAATGATGCTTGGTGGGTAATGATGCTTGGTGGGTAATGATGCTTGGTGGGTAATAATGCTTGGTGGGTAATAATGCTTGGTGAGTAATGATGCTTGGTGGGTAATGATGCTTGGTGGGTAATGATGCTTGGTGGGTAATGATGCTTAGTGGATAATAATGCTTGGTGGGTAATAATTATTTCCCACCATTTATGCCTGGGAGATATAAACTCCCATATATAAGCTCCCAGGTATACCTCAAGCGTGAGTCGTGGACGCAGACCACTCTGCTACAGGGACCATCTCTTCAAATGATGCATTAATAATATTAAGGAAAGACGGAGAGGAGACGTGATTGGCGGTTCTGACCTGATCGTCCGTCTGGTCGTAGAGTCTGATGGTGGTGCGGAACTCAGGGATGGCCAGGACCATCAGGAGCAGCCAGAAGGTGAACAAGTAGCCAGAGCTCTGCATCCCTCGCTTCTTCTCCAGCATCACGAACACCAGCTGCAGCAGCTGTCAGGGATAGATACACTGTCAGGGATAGATACACTGTCAGGGATAGACACACTGTCAGGGATAGACACTCTGTCAGGGATAGACACTCTGTCAGGGATAGACACACTGTCAGGGATAGATACACTGTCAGGGATAGACACACTGTCAGGGATAAACACACTGTCAGGGATAGACACTCTGTCAGGGATAGACACACTGTCAGGGATAGATACACTGTCAGGGATAGATACACTGTCAGGGATAGACACACTGTCAGGGATAGACACACTGTCAGGGATAGATACACTGTCAGGGATAGACACACTGTCAGGGATAGACACACTGTCAGGGATAGACACTGTCAGGGATAGACACTCTGTCAGGGATAGACACACTGTCAGGGATAGACACTCTGTCAGGGATAGACACACTGTCAGGGATAGATACACTGTCAGGGATAGACACACTGTCAGGGATAGACACTCTGTCAGGGATAGACACACTGTCAGGGATAAACACACTGTCAGGGATAGACACTCTGTCAGGGATAGACACACTGTCAGGGATAGATACACTGTCAGGGATAGATACACTGTCAGGGATAGACACACTGTCAGGGATAGACACACTGTCAGGGATAGATACACTGTCAGGGATAGACACACTGTCAGGGATAGACACACTGTCAGGGACAGACACTCTGTCAGGGATAGATACACTGTCAGGGATAGACACACTGTCAGGGATAGACACACTGTCAGGGATAGACACACTGTCAGGGATAGATACACTGTCAGGGATAGACACACTGTCAGGGATAGACACTCTGTCAGGGATAGACACACTGTCAGGGATAGACACACTGTCAGGGATAGATACACTGTCAGGGATAGATACACTGTCAGGGATAGACACACTGTCAGGGATAGACACACTGTCAGGGATAGATACACTGTCAGGGATAGACACACTGTCAGGGATAGACACTCTGTCAGGGATAGACACACTGTCAGGGATAGACACACTGTCAGGGATAGATACACTGTCAGGGATAGACACACTGTCAGGGATAGACACACTGTCAGGGATAGATACACTGTCAGGGATAGACACACTGTCAGGGAAAGACACACTGTCAGGGATAGACACACTGTCAGGGATAGACACTCTGTCAGGGATAGATACACTGTCAGGGATAGACACACTGTCAGGGATAGACACACTGTCAGGGATAGACACACTGTCAGGGATAGACACACTGTCAGGGATAGACACACTGTCAGGGATAGACACACTGTCAGGGACAGACACACTGTCAGGGATAGACACACTGTCAGGGATAGACACACTGTCAGGGATAGACAGTGGATAGACATAGGGATAGACGAGCTGACTAGTCACTATATGCTCTGACCTTACTAGCCACTGTATGCTCTGCCCTTACTAGTCACTATATGCTCCCACCTTACTAGTCACTGTATGCTCAGACCTTACTAGTCACTGTATGCTCTGACATTACTAGTCACTGTATGCTCAGACCTTACTAGTCACTGTATGCTCCGACCTTACTTGTCACTGTATGCTCCGACCTTACTTGTCACTGTATGCTCCGACCTTACTAGTCACTGTATGCTCTGACCTTACTAGTCACTGTATGCTCTGACCTTACTAGCCACTGTATGCTCCCACCTTACTAGTCACTATATGCTCCCACCTTACTAGTCACTATATGCTCCGACCTTACTAGTCACTGTATGCTCCGACCTTACTAGTCACTGTATGCTCCGACCTTACTAGTCACTGTATGCTCCGACCTTACTAGTCACTGTATGCTCTGACCTTACTAGTCACTGTATGCTCCGACCTTACTAGTCACTGTATGCTCCGACCTTACTAGTCACTGTATGCTCTGACCTTACTAGTCACTGTATGCTCCGACCTTACTAGTCACTGTATGCTCTGACCTTACTAGTCACTGTATGCTCCGACCTTACTAGCCATTGTATGCTCAGACCTTACTTTTCACTGTATGCTCCGACCTTACTAGCCATTGTATGCTCCGACCTTACTAGTCACTGTATGCTCTGACCTTACTAGTCACTGTATGCTCCGACCTTACTAGCCATTGTATGCTCCGACCTTACTAGTCACTGTATGCTCCCACCTTACTAGTCACTATATGCTCTGACCTTACTAGCCACTGAATGCTCTGACCTTACTAGCCTATGTATGCTCCGACCTTACTAGCCACTGTATGCTCCGACCTTACTAGCCACTGTATGCTCTGACCTTACTAGCCATTGTATGCTCAGACCTTACTAGTCACTGAATGCTCCGACTTTACTAGTCACTATATGCTCCGACCTTACTAGCCACCGTATGCTCCGACCTAACTAGTCACTGTATGCGCCCACCTTACTAGCCACTCTATGCTCCCACCTTACTAGTCACTATATGCTCTGACCTTACTAGCCACTGTATGCTCTGACCTTACTAGCCAATGTATGCTCCGACCTTACTAGTCACTGTATGCTCTGACCTTACTAGTCACTGTATGCTCCGACCTTACTAGCCATTGTATGCTCCGACCTTACTAGTCACTGTATGCTCCCACCTTACTAGTCACTATATGCTCTGACCTTACTAGCCACTGTATGCTGACCTTACTAGCCAATGTATGCTCCGACCTTACTAGCCACTGTATGCTCCGACCTTACTAGCCACTGTATGCTCTGACCTTACTAGCCATTGTATGCTCAGACTTTACTAGTCACTGAATGCTCTGACTTTACTAGTCACTATATGCTCCGACCTTACTAGCCACCTTATGCTCCGACCTAACTAGTCACTGTATGCTCCCACCTTACTAGCCACTGTATGCTCCCACCTTACTAGTCACTATATGCTCTGACCTTACTAGCCACTGTATGCTCCCACCTTACTAGTCACTATATGCTCTGACCTTACTAGCCACTGTATGCTTTGACCTTACTAGCCAATGTATGCTCCGACCTTACTAGTCACTGTATGCTCCCACCTTACTAGACACTGTATGCTCCGACCTTACTAGTCACTGTATGCTCTGACCTTACTAGCCACTGTATGCTCTGACCTTATTAGCCAATGTATGCTCAGACCTTACTAGTCACTATATGCTCCCACCTTACTAGTCACTGTATGCTCCGACCTTACTAGTCACTGAATGCTACGACCTTACTAGCCACTGTATGCTCCGACTTTACTAGTCACTATATGCTCCGACCTTACTAGCCACCGTATGCTCTGACCTTACTAGCCAATGTATGCTCTGACCTTACTAGCCACTGTATGCTCTGACCTTACTAGCCAATGTATGCTCTGACCTTACTAGCCACTGTATGCTCCAACCTAACTAGTCACTGTATGCTCCGACCTTACTAGCCACTATATGCTCCGACCTTACTAGCCACTATATGCTCCGACCTAACTAGTCACTGTATGCTCTGACCTTACTAGTCACTGTATGCTCTGACCTAACTAGTCACTGTATGCTCTGACCTTACTAGTCACTGTATGCTACTGTCTCGTGAGTATACTCACCACGGACAGGAAGATGAGGGCAGGGAGTATACTCACCATGGACAAGAAGATGAGGGCAGGGAGTATACTCACCACGGACAGGAAGATGAGGGCAGGGAGTATACTCGCCACGGACAGGAAGATGAGTGCGGGAAGTATACTCACCACGGACAGGAAGATGAGGGCAGGGAGTATACTCACCACGGACAAGAAGATGAGTGCGGGAAGTATACTCACCACGGACAGGAAGATGAGTGTGGGGAGTATACTCACCACGGACAGGAAGGTGAGGGCGGGGAGTATACTCGCCACGGACAGGAAGATGAGTGCGGGAAGTATACTCACCATGGACAGGAAGATGAGTGCGGGGAGTATACTCACCACGGACAGGAATTTGAGGGCGGGGAGTATACTCACCACGGACAGGAAGATGAGTGCGGGCGCCATGTAGTCGACGCCAGGAACGTCTTCGCCGCTGCTACGGTCCACAACATCGAAGAAGCTCACAGCCTCGCAGGCCAGCACCAGCGTCGACACCACCTGCAGGTCGTGTGTGTGTGTGGCTCAGTATTATGTGTTAGTATTCAAATTGTATGATAGTTGGGGTATAGCCAATCACAGGCGAGTAGGCCTCTGACGTCATGTTCCACAGAGCCGGCACTGGCCGCTCTTGAGTCAGGTCTCAGTATCTCACTAGACCAGAGTTAGGAAGGACCTCGGCAGGCCACATCTATACCTTGTTGCCTTTACCCAATAAACTACTGAAGTGAACTACTGTGTATGAGCAAGTACCGTACGTCTAAGGCGACGAATACTGGTGGCAGCGGTGGGATTCAGAATTTATTTTTCTGAGGAACGAAAACTCAAATGCCCACATCGTCACATTTTTTTTTTTTTGAGATATATACAAGAGTTGTTACATTCTTGTACAGCCACTAGTACGCGTAGCGTTTCGGGCAAGTCCTTAATCCTATGGTCCCTGGAATACGATCCCCTGCTGCGAAGAATCGTTTTTTCATCCAAGTACACATTTTACTGTTGCGTTAAACAGAGGCTACAGTTAAGGAATGCGCCCAGTAAATCCTCCCTGGCCAGGATACGAACCCATGACATAGCGCTCGCGGAACGCCAGGCGAGTGTCTTACCACTACACCACGGAGACTGTTAGTATAGTATATACATAGTATAGTTAGTATATACATGTTTCCAGCCACCTCCCGCGCATCATTAATATTCATTTAAATTGTACCAGTCTATGGTCTTACTGTCAACCACTACTCTAGGTCACCGTCTCAGAAGGCACAATATTTACCAGAGAGAGAACGCCATTTCATCAGTGAAGGGAGAGGAAGATTCCTGCACCAGCCATTTTGAATTTCCCGCTCCATTTTGGAACCTGCGCCAACCACCACCACCACCCAAGCCGACAGCAACAAGCCTTGTGTGTGTTTACCAGCTACTGCAATCGTCGTCTCAAGTTTCAACTGTTCATTGGTTGTGTTGTGCAGTTATTTGAGAATTAATTGGTGGATTGCAAATGTCTGACTAGTGTTGCCGCTAGCTTCCACTCATGTCGCCACCTCTCACCACCGCCACTGCTCCACCATTCATCAGAGCACTCCTGCATAGCAATTGTGGTTCCTTCGTTATCATCATTGTCTCTGCATTATCGTCGTGCACCCGACATCATCTCTAGTGAGGGCTCCACCCAAGCTTCTCGACACGGCCATAAGGAGCGCTGCCTGCCCCCGAAACATAAATAAACGCCACATGTGCCTCTTCACATGCCTCGACGCTGTTTTTCATGTTGGCCATGGTTATGTTGTATATCCTGCAGTCCCGAGTTAAGTAATTAAGAGCTAGGGCTTAATGTGCCATGCTTTAAGAAGGATTTACATAAATATATCCACAATATCATATGTATTAACTTTCCAGCGACATGTTAAATATTGGAGCTGGTAGCCTCTCAAAAACACACACACACACACACACACACACACACACACACACACACACACACACACACACACACACACACACACACACACACACACCAGTTTCCCTGAGTCATTTCAACATTTCCTGCTTCCTACAGTAATTCCATTGTGTATTAATTGTTTTACTAGAGTGTTATTAGTAAATTCAAAGTTCAGAGAAGTAAGAAATCATTGTTTTCCAGCATTTAAGGACTTGCGAAATATAATTTTTTTTATAATTCTCCAGACCTTAATTCGAAATTTATTCTTTCAGCATTTGACATTAAAATGTTACCATAGCATGTTCTACATATACCTGTGTCCAGTTTGTTTATACTAAACCCATATTTCTTACAGTGTCCCTTGTTGAGTGTTGAATTATTTGTTTAATGAAAATTGCTAATACACTTTCCAGTTATATAATCTAATTTGCTGTGCTTAGCCTGGTTTAATTAATTTACATAACTAATTCCAGCCATATTCCTACCAGGTTGCTAATTTAATTCACAATTTTGCTTGTTTTTATAATTTTTTTGTTGCTGAAGTACAATTTAAAAAAAATATTTCTGACATTTCCTTACTTTAGCCAAGTTTGATATTTTTGGGGGAGTGTTTTTTTTATTTTTGTGTATTCTATTTCTGATGCCTAGTGCATTGAATTATAATTTGCGTTCAAACGTCACTTCCACGATAGTGACAATGCCTACCACTGTTGCAACCCCTGACTGAAATGGAGCAGTTGCTTGTACTAATGTCTAGAGGTCAGCTCAGGAAATGGCTATTCCACTATTTGCTGGGGAATCTAGCTTATTGGAATCGTGGTTTAGCAAAGTTGAAACAAAGGCCAAGGCTCGTTTCTCAGAGCCTTCTGATGATGATTATTTGCCAATTGCTTAGTCAATTGTTGACACCACCAAAGGTGATGCACATTTTGTAGTTGATGAGAAAGCCATTGTTAGCCTCCAGTCATGGCCAGAATTTAAGGATTTCTTTTGCTGGCTCTTTGTTAACAAATGAGACCTCGACCCATATTACATTACCTTGAAGTTACCTTGAGGTGGTTTTGGGGCTTAGCGTCCCCGCGGCCGGGTCGTCGACCAGGCCTCCTCGTTGTTGCACTGGTCAACCAGGCTATTGGACGCGGCTCCTTGCAACCTAATGTATGATTCACAGCCTGATTGATCAGGTACCTTTTGGAGGTGCTTATTGAGTTCTTTCTTGAACACGGTGATGGATCGGCCAGTTCATATAGGTTAGTTAAGAAAATTGCCAATGCCACCATGCAGCCTGGTGAATCATTTAATGCTCTTACTAGCCGTCTAGATCAGTATTTGTATGCCTTAGTGACTGCTATGGTTAGTTCATCATGGGTGGATAATAACAAATCAGACTTCAGTAGCCATGGCTAAAATTATAGCATTTAGGACTTTAATTCATTTTGCCCAAGAGTAACCTATTTTTTGTAACGTTTTTTTTCCTAAACGTATCCTAGAACAACAAAATTTTGGATCTCAACATGCAATGGGTGAAGTGTTTGAGGCCATAAATAATGCAGCAGACAAGTTGGCTCCCAAAGTGTTCAACTGTTGCCACCCTATGATGCTGTGAATGTATTAACTAGCTTTCAGCACCCTCCCACAAATTCTCAAAACTCTTGGTCGCAGAACCACAACCATGGTCATAGCTCGCAATCAAATTCTCCTCCTCGTAAGTTGCCGAGACGCCATAGCCCACGACCATCCACTCCCTTGTGTGCATTCTGGTAAGACTAACCACCTTGCAAGGGACTGTTGGTCCGCTCCTAGATCATCACCCCTCTTCCCCCCCCTGAGACAATTCTCTCGGTCTCCTCATCAGTCTAATAACTCTAGGCTCCCATATTGTAAGTATCACAAATAAGTTGGTCACCACACTGCAGATTGAAGAGCTCGGCAAAAGACATCCCCACCTTGTAGCTCCCACAGTCAGTCTTGGCGAGGTGCACAGCGTCCAGGACATAATCAGAACTCACGTAATTACAACACCCAGGCCATCTATAATAATATGTCAAATTATAATACTCGGTCACAGAGTGCTAGAGCTTAGAATGTTCACTCCATGTCATTGGGAAACCCCCAAAGCCATCTGCTAACCAATTTCAAGTTAACCAGTCTTAGTGCCCTCCCTGTGTACTCAGTAACAACCCAAAATAGATTTGGTCGCTTGACAGAGGAGAACACTGACTCTTGGCCAGTTGTAGATGTTGACGGAACCACCGTGAATTTGACCCAGACGAGGCACAGACATCCTAGGCAACATAAGTCACAAGTAGTAACTTGTCCATTTTCAAGTGATGGTCCTCTTGTATCAGCCAATGTACATAGTAGAATTTTCAAAGTCATTGACTCAGGTGCAAAAATGAATATTGTCAAGCCTTCAGCTCTTAGCGATATTGCAAGTAAGCACCCTGTTCCAGAGAAGACATCACACTGTCTATAACATGTTTAGTTGTTGACAGTATTCATTTTCCTGGTGACATTCTTCTAGGTTTGTACACCATGATTGATGAAAATATTGCTTTGTTCCCCCATCGGTGGAACATTAGTATCAAAGACCAAGTCATACCCTTGTGTAGCATGTATGGACAGGGCCATGAGTTCAACCTTCACTTAGATTACGTTAATTTTGTCGACACTCGACTTGCTAGCGTTGGTTTGTCAGATCCTTGTCATGGTAGCATACCCAAGAAAACAGGCATGCGATTGAAGCATCTTAGCTGTGCAGTTGTTAAGGAGAGTGAGTATGGAGACTTTCTGGAGGGGGGACGCCTTAACGGATTCTCATTGTCTTGCTCGCCTAGCAGCTTCCATCTCTGAAGTCAGTGGTTCCACAGCTACTGACACTGTGCTGTATAACCACTGCATGAAATGGACACTCTCATTCTCTCACTAGAGTAAGAGATAAGGTCCAGGGAGTGCCTGAGTTGTTGGATGTCATTGCAGAAAGTGAAACGTGTTAAGTGAAAGGTACATTTGTTGAACCCTCCTGGCACACAGTGCAGGATGCTACTGTTACATTGTATGTTACAAACACTAGTAATGCCAACATCCGTCTCCAGTCTGGCACCCATGTTGTAGATTTTGCCCATTACTCATTACCTGTGCAAGTCGTGGACGATGTCTCCATGGAACGTACTGTGTGTACTCTCACACCAGAAGAACAGGGATCTCAGCCAGAGATTCAAGCCCAACACCTCAGTCCTACTGATTTCCCTGACTTCGTGGTTCAACTTTTGGATATTTTGAACAGGAATAGAACCGTTGTTGCTCTACCAGGAGAAAAGTTACGTCTCACTGCTCTTATTATGCATAAAATACCCCTTGAGCATGGAATTATGCCTATTTATGTATCAGCTTACTGTCTACACCATTCTCAGAGAGCAGAAGCTGATAGACTCACAGAGGAAATGTTACAGAGTGATGTAATTGAGTCGAATAATTCGCCATGGAACGCTCCATTGATTCTTGTACCAAAGTGAGATGGTACTTGAAGACCTGTAATCGATTATCGGAAGCTTAACAGAGT